CCAAGAACCATGTATGTTTATCTGGAACTGAACTATTAAATGTTACTTTTAGAAACTTCAAGTTCACATCTGGAATTGTTAGCAGATCTACACGAAATTCCTATGGTGGAATATAAAACTGTAATTGCAATCTTGTATTCTGGCTTCTACTAGGTTTCATTTTGTTGTTCACTTTTAGAGTCTATATTGTTAAAGATCAACTTCTATTTTATAATTATTTAAAATGGTTACATAATTCCAGAAGTTAAATCTATAAAATAATGTATATTCGTAGAAGCCTAGCAGATAGCCCCATACTCTCTATCCTATTCCTTCACTCGCCCTATATGTAAAAATTTTTTAAAATTATGACTTAATTTTTGTTTAATATTTTATTTTGTATATACTTGTGATCCTTTTCCAGCTAGCTTAGAAAAATTTTAGCATATATTTTTTCTTTTTTTAAGTTGCCTGAGAATACATGCACTCACCAGAGAGAGACAGAGAGAGAAGGAGGAGAAGGAAAATCCCAGTGGGCTATGGTCATACCGCAATCTCTTCTCTATTTCTCCATCCTGTTGGAGCTTTGAGTGTATGCACACATCATGTTTCTAAAGCCCCTGGGGCAGAACTCAAACCATGGTCAGCAGTGTGGAACCTAGCTTCCCTTATAAAATTCTTATATGAGAATATTATATAAGTATTTTATATGAAATGTTTTTAATTTTATATTTTTTAAAAATTGTCTTTCTTGAGAATCAGCAGTTAGCATAATGGCTATGTCGCTGGACTCCCATGTAGTCACCCGTGGTTCGCGTCCCGGACCCGGTGGCTTAAAACTCACGCCGGGCGCGTGTGCGTGCATGCCCAGGATCCCGAGAGGAGAATGAATGGAGGAGAAGGGATTGCGGCGTGACCATCCCCCCCGGGGGGTGATTTCTCGCTTTCTGTCTCTATGTCTCTTTCTGTCTGTCTGGCGAGCGCACGCACCCTATAGCAAAAATCTCTCCAAAAAAAAAAAAAATTGTCTTTCTTGTCTGTGCTTTTTAAAGTTTTAAATTTTTTTTAATTTTAAGAAAATTTGAGTTCTAGTGGTATAATAAGGCTTATATTTACTATCCTTTATGTCTTCCTTTTTAGAAATTTTTGAGAGATTATTGTCTAATTGTTCTGCATTAACAGCAAAAATCAAAATTGGCTAAAAATGTCATTTATCCAATTCTGTTCCTGCTTCTCCAGTATTTGATTTGTGATATTAACCTGCTACTCCTAGTTAATACTGTAAAGCAAACAGAATGGTTATTCTGCTTTTCATTTGTGCTTCATAGTCCCCACATCCATTTTTATAAAGCTATACACACTATACATCCCTCTTCTTACTTCATTTCATCATAAACTCTCTACCAGCTCTTATGTCCACATATGTGGAATTCATTCTCTAGGAAGAGCTTGAGGAAATAGCCTTTTGAAGTTCTTGCACATTGACAATAACTTGTGGTCTTTATACTTGAAAGTCAGTTTGACTACATACAATTGTTTTAGCTCGTATTTTAGTTTTTAGGATGCTACGAAGATATTATTCCAGTCAGACTGTCCATTTACAGATAGTATAATTTTATGTAAAGAAAAGACTTAAAGACTCTACCAAAGCCCTCTTAGAACTGATAAATGAATTTAGTAAAGATGCAGGATACAAAATCGACATATAGAACGTAGTAGTGTTTCTATGTATAAATAATCAACTAGATGAAAAAAAAAATAAGCAATACTATTTACAATAGCTACAAAATGTTACCAAGAAGTATATTTAACAAAGGATGTGAAAAATATTTTCAGTGAAACACTGATGAGTCCCAAATACAAAAAGACTTCATAAAGGTTTGTGGAAAATGAAATCAAAAGATAAAAAGTAAAAAGTATGAACTTTCTTTTTCAACATAAACTCCATCAAGTTCAAGGCATTTTGTAGCAGACGATACTAGGGGACCAGCAGATGGCAAAATGGTTATGTTTCTGGACTCCCATGCAGTCAGCCTCGACCTGAGTACTGGACCCACAACTTGAAACTTATGCCAGATGCATGTGAGTGCATGCCCTAAATCCTGAGAGGAGAATGGAGGATAAGGGATTGCAGCTAAAAAATGTTGATCTCATGGAAGCAGGAAGCTGAATAGTTTTTACCACAGATTGGAAAGAATAGGGAGAATAGAGATATAGAAAGGGGTTGGTCAAAGGGCACAAAAATGTAATTAGATACGAGGTTTGAGTTCCAGTATTCTATAGCACCTTAAGGTGACTATAGTTAACAATAATTTATTATATATTTCAAAATACCTAAAAGATTTTGAATGTTCCCTCCAAAAAAGAAATGATAAATATTTAAGGTGGCTGATATTCTAATTTAATTTAATCACTATATATTGTACATGTGTTAAAATATCACATTAGAATCCATAAAAATGTAAAATTATTATATGTCATTTAAAACATTAAAATTTCTCCCATTTTTTTCTTTAATAAAAATTACAACTTAAAAATCTGATGACATAGTGAACTTCTTTCCCTCACAGGTGACAGTTCTTTTGCCTAGATGCTTGAAAGAAGTTTCTTTTCCTTTAAGGTACAGTAGTTGTTCTAAAATAAGTCTTGATACTGAATATTTTGGGTAAATTTTCTACAAAGTAATACTCTCTTTCAATATTTAAATATTTTCATTTTTCAGAAAACTTCTTTCTTCTTTTTTTTAGAGAGAGTTTTTTTTTTTTTTTTTGGGGGGGGGGGGGTTTTTTTCTAAAGGGCATTGGGCCTTTCCC